GTCCTTGAAATGTACAAAATATTATTAAAAAATAATAGTAGTGTGTCCCACAAACAGCAAATATTGTCACAAAAAGTAAGAAATCTTTGGGGGTGCTTTGATTCATGCTGAAGCACCCCCAACAATGGACTAAAATCGCCCCTGCGACTATTACTAATTTTTAGTCAAAATGAGGATGTGAGTGATTGTGTGATGGCATCAGCCACACATAGATAAAACAGGTCCATTCATTCACTTCATTAGTTTGATTTGTAGTTGCTTCACTAATATAATTCATTAATGTTTTTACTTAAACCTGACACTAATTTAATGAAGCGTGCACGTAATAGCACTGTGTGGTTTTTCTAAAGATGTTTTTTGTTATATTAATTATGTTTTTCTTTCTTTGAGTTACCTGGTTTGGGGCGGTGGCTGTTTCCTGTCTGGGCAGAAGGCGCGGCCAAGGGCTGAGAAATCTACCCTCCTGTGTCTTTGTGATTAGGCCAGTTTGTTAGTTAAATTGTGTTTGTTTGTTTCAGTTTCTGGAAGTTGTGTTTTGATTAGAGTTATATTTAGTTGACCTCTTTTATGGGACCACTAATTATATTTTTGAATTCTGTCTTTTTGAACTTTTCTGAGGGTTAAAATAAAGAAAACCCATTTTGAAGACATTATTTGTGTCTTCTATAATATAAAACTTGCACAACCAAGATATGGAGTTGTTTTTTATTATAAAACAGTTACTTTAATACACAGAGAACACAGTGACTCCAGAGCCAACATTTAGTTTCACACCATGGTCTTTCCTTTACCTTCACCTAGCTGCTTTTATTGTCTAACCACAGGCTGGATGTGAAACTTGGAGTGTGGTGTGGCAACACATGACCTGGTTTTCTTGCTGGCAGTTTGGCATGTGACAACAGGAAACGCACAGGTGATACTGAAACTGTTAGAATACATGAGATCAATTATAATACAGACTGTCATGGTTTGGTGGGATCCAATCATGAATGTCTGCTGTATGGTTTGTAAGTTTATTAACAATCCCACCCACTTGCTGGTCCCCAGTGCAGTTCATAAATATGGTGATTACCACCACCACCATTTAGTAATAGAAAAGGAAAAAACACAGAAAATAGTTTTGTGTATAAGATAGTTTTGAAATAATAGATACAAGATGGGTACTGTGTGATATCTGTTGATATTTTGGGTACGTAGAGAGATCTTCATCTGTATTGTTTCTAAATGGGAATTTCAAACATAGTCTTCCGCCAACACTGGATCTTGAGACTCAGATTCCAGTCATATCCATGTCATATCCACATGTTAGAAATTTCCAGTCATTTCTGAATCACTTCTGTTCTGAATGTCTACCTGCCCCCTCCTGAAAGACTGGAAGGTATCTCGAAAGTTTTGCGAACCGAAGTAGTACAACAGTGGATCCAGGCAGCTGTTTACTCCCGCAAAAATCCAGGTTGCGTAATACGCCGTCTCAAACTGAAGGAGAAGACGGCATTGTTGCGGGTAGTATTTTTTTAATATGACTCCGACAGTCCGTACCACATTCAGAGGCAGGAAGCACAAAGCGAATATAACCAGACACACACCTATCATCCTCTGAGATTTCACCTTCACCTTCAGACCTTTAGCTGTGCTAATGTTTAAGCGAGTTAAGGTGTTTGCGAGACGGCTATAGCATGCAGCAGACACAAAGAAAGGGAGTAAAAACCCAAAGATAAACAGGATAAAGTTAATGACGAAGTAGGATTCTGTCAGTTTGGTCTGATGAATGGAGAGGCATTGTTTGTTTTTCCCTTCTGTGGAGGTAGGAAGAGTAAAAGCAAAGATCAGAGCCTGGATCAGTAGCAGAGACCAAACTCCAGCACAGAGCTTCCTGACAAACTCCTTCCGCTTTATACAAGAGCTCCTGTTGAAGTGAACCACAGCCACATACCGATGAATGCTGATGAGAGTGAGGAAAATGGTACTGCCGTAGAAATGTGAACTCAGCAGGGCAATCTTGAGT